CAACTGGTCTAAAAAGATCCATATGCAAAATTTCTAATGGTTTACTAGTTCTAAGATCCTTATTGGACTGAAAAGATAACTTCACCTGTATTTCTAATTGACATGCATCGCAAAGGTGATCCTTAGTGAAGTCTAGTTTTGGTATACCTCTCACTAAGTTGTTTTGGATAATCTTCCTAAGATTTTTCATGCTAGAGTGATACAAAGTCTCTTATGCCAAAACCAGGATTTATTAGAAATAGTTTTTAAACAAAAAGTTGTAGGTGTTTTAATGCAATTCAAGTCTAGCATATACACATTATTTACCCTAATACCATTCAAAATATCATTACCATTCAGGCTTAATATGCAGCTTGTAGGAAAAAATTTTACATAATAACCTTTATCACATAGCTGACTAATACTTAAAAGATTATAGTTTAAGCCTTCTACCAATAATACATTCTCAATGAAAAAGTTTTTAATATTTCCAATCATACCTAACCCAACCACCTTTCTTGTGGTGTTATCTCCAAGTGTAACCTTGCCTCCACTCCTAGCTTCCAGTGATATGAATTGAACAGTATCTCCAGTCATATGCTTTGAGCATCCTCTGCCCAGGTACTATATGCTCTCATGAGGTCTTGTGTGAGAGCAATCCTACAATATCATCAAACATTAGACCTGAGAACCCAAACAAGTTTGAGTTCACCTTTTTATAAATTATAAACAGATGCGTGTATGATATGTCTAAGTTTATGCATCTTAGGTTTCCACACCAAATGAGTTTTCTTCTTCATTATACAGGTATGAGCTATATATTCAACCAATCCACAATTATGATATTTGACTCCTAGAAAAGAGTTTCTTAATCTTCTATAATTTCTCTGTCTATTTATGGATTGCATAAATTTAGGTTTCGTGAAATCTTCAAGTCTTGGTGGTATCCTATTATCCTTGAGAGTTTCTATTTTTAATTTCAAAAAGTTGTTAACATCTTTCAAAATTGGTTTATCAAAATTTAAATATTTATCTACTTCTTGATTCATCCTTAAAAGTTTTAAATTCTTTTTCAAGTTCAGCATAAGATGTTTTTAAATTTTTCATGGTTCTTATTCAAGTCGTCATACTCATCAAGTAATTTCATGTGGTTGTTATCAATTAAAACATGATCTTTCCTAAGATCTCATGTTTTCTTTAAATTTCTATATGCAACATATATGCGTTCTGAGACTTCTAAATGTTCATTGTAAGTCAAGTCACATACCTCTTCTTGATCTGACTAATCAAGATTATCTGACATCAAGCACAGATTGGTAACTTCTTCTTTTTCAATCTCTGATGAGTCCGCCTAGAAAGCTTTTTGGAATTTTTTCTTGCCCTTCTTCACAATTGGTTTCTCCTATTCCTTTTCCTTGCTAGGAGTGGCTTTGAGTTTTGGGCATTCTAACTTAATTTTTCTTGGTTTATTGCGCTCATAGAAAATAACATCATTTAAAACCTTGACATTTCTATTAAATTTACCTCGATTCCATTACTGACGTCTCTTTTTCTTCCTCTTCAAAAAGCTTCTGAACTGTCTAGTCATCAGTGCGATGTCATCTTCATCATCAGGTTGTGAGAGATCACTCTCTGACTCCTCCACTTTCAGTGCTATGTTCTTTTTCCTTCGTGGTTCACCTGCATCAGTCTTTCTTTGACTCACTCCTTGCTCATAAGCAATTAGTGATCCAAGATGATTGTCAATAGAGTAAATATTTAAATATTTAGACTCTGTAATCGTAGTTATTTTAGCATCATAAGTAGTAGGTAAGCAACAAAGTATTTTATTAATCATCTATGCATTTGTTAATTCTGGACATAATGCATGTAAAGAGATGATTATTTATATAAATCTTGTGTATATGTCTGAAATGAATTCATTAGGTTTCATGCAAAACAGTTCATAATCATGTAACAAGATATTAAGTCTAGATTGTTTAACTTCATTAGTCCCCTCATAAGTTATACAAAGTCTATCCCATATGTCTTTTCCACTCTTACAAGTGGAAGCCCACATGTAATCTTCAGATTTAAGAGCACAAAAGAAATTATTCAAGCATTTGGCATTAAGTTGTGCTAAGTCACATTTTTCTACTGTTCGGTATGTAAAAGGTGTTTCAACTCTAACTCCGTCAACAAGTCTAATTAGTTTTGTATACCCTTCGTGAACTAAGAACAACATACGGTAATTAAGTGACTATAAAAATATAGATATGCGTGTTTTCCAAAAATAAAAAGAAATATTATCAAACAATGGAGGTCTAGTTATAGAATAACCCTCATGTGTGTTTTGGTTTCAAAATGTAGCCATGGTCATTAATAAAAAAGTAGTTTAAACTTATTATTTTGAAACAAAGTTTTGATACCATTTGTTGAAACTTGTTAAATATGAATTAGGTTGTTAGACTTAAGCTTATATCCCAACGACTAACCAAGAGGGGGGGTGAATTGGTAATTTAAAAATTTTCCTCTTAAATTTTAAACCGATAAAAAACTTATGATAAATTTTTTAAAAGGATTTTCAACCACATATCACACAAAAATAGTAAAGTAAAAAAAGGAGCAGAAAAATAAAAAGACACAAGATTTATAGTTGTTTGGTCAAACACGACCAACATCCATTCCCTAGAGGCACCCTCCGAGTATTGCACTAATACCACTAGTGTCTCTCCTTTTACCCCCACAGCAAGGCGGAGAAGCCTTCACAAAACTCTCTTCCACCACTACCAAGTGCGGCAGAGAACCATCATCCTTTTACACTCTCCAAGTGTTGGCAGAGAACCGTCATCCTTTTACACTCTCTAAGTGTAGGCAGAGAACCCTTCATCCTTTTACACTCTCCAAGTGTAGGCAGAGAACCTCCCGCTGTTCACACTCCATGAGTGTCCACAGAGAATCTAATCTTCTTGAAAGATCTTCTCACGAGAAATCTAAAAGGACAAGAGAAAAGAGTGAAGTAATCATAATTGGAGATTCTTACCTTTAAGTACAAAGTGAACCCTTCACGCTCCAGTAGTAAGAATCCTCCTTCAAACACTCTTTCACACACTCTCCTTTAATCTCCCTTCAGTTTGCACGAAGACCAATGGGAAAAAAGATTACAAAATAGTTTTAAGTGGACCTTTTATATGAAAGATACGAAAAATCGTCCAAAAACTATAATTTTCCAAATCTGTACGTACTCGATTGTCCCGTACGATCATAATTCATATGTACGAATAGTGTAAAAACTGTTGCGTATGATCTCAATATGTATTGGTACAAAATGACTTTGTACCCGATCATCGTCCCGTACGAACTTAGTTCGTTCGGTACGAATAGTTATTTGAAAGGTTCATTGGGATGAAACTGCAGGACGGTCCATATGTTTTAGGAACAGAGGACATCATCCTTGGACGATTAAACAAGTTTGTCTGGATGACCAGTATAGAGCATGTGTCCAAAGAACATCGTCCTGCGATGAACGGAGAAAATTGTCTAGATGATTAGCATAAGTCATGAGTCCAGAGAACATCGTCGAGGGACGAATGGTACACTTCGTCTGGATGAATAGTTCAAAGTGAGAAATCAGAGGACATCGTCTAAGGATGAATGGTACACTTCGTCTGGACGAACAGTTCAAAGTGAGAAATCAGAGGACATCGTCCAGGGACAAACTGGATAAATTTGTCCGAATGATCAAAACTTTAAAAAATTTTCTCTCTCTATTTGTTTCATTGCTCCTCGAGGGGTATAACTGACCTGATAGTCCCGTACGAAAATGGTTCGTCCCGTATGATAAGTATAAAAAATTTTGACTTTTAAGGATCTCCGCCAGTGTGTGTGAGCTAAGTTACTCAATTACAACCACACTCTCTTAGACTCAATAAAATGAAAAATATAGACTTCAATTTACAAAATATCTTAAGCTGAATTTGATTTGAAGTCTTCATTAGTATGTAGTACGATGATCCTGAAATGTTAGTCCACACAAGAGCAAAAATAATTCTTCCAAAAAGTGTTAGGAGAAAATAATAATTAGAACAATAATATTTGGAATCATCAAAATTATACAAGTAGAGAGAGAAATTCTAGATTTTTTGTTAGAGAGAGAAACCCCAAAAAATTCAAATTTTTTGTTCCCGGTTTTAGTTCTTGTTTCTCAAGAAGAGCTGTGGATGATGGCGGCGGGGAGTCGCCGGCAAGCACAGGCTCCGACGACTAGACCTCCATCCTTCATTGGTAATTCGAAGATCAATTTAAAGGGAAACGAAGTACTGTTGTCCAAACAATATTCGGAGGATCGTTTGTTGAAGCCGCAAGGACCGTTGGTGATTAAAGATGTCTCAGAGGAAGCGCCCAAGAAGATTAAGCATGTGGAAGGTAAAGGTAAAGGAGTAGATGAATATGGAATCAATGTTACTCCATGTACTAATAAAGTTTTTTCTGCATCTAACTCGTTGGATCCCGCTGCAACTTCTTCCGGGATGAAAATTTTTGTTAACATATTTATGAATTCAAATGCAATCCCTGGACACAGTGAGATAAATGCGAATTCTTTGAGTTTGGTTAACAATAATTTTCATTCATTGGTGAATGAGTTTAATAAAATGAGTCTGGATAAGGTGAATGTTGAAATGCCGAATACTACTGATAGTATTAGCAACAGTAATCCTTGGAGTAATAAGCCGTATATAAAAATTGATTTTAAAGAAGATTAAATGATGTTATCTGATGATGGTAAAGCAGTAAGGATGAATGAAGAAATGGAGATTTCGAATTCAAAGAAATTGTTGAATTCAATGGTTATGAAGGTGTTTGGAAGAGAATTAGCTTCTCATTTAGTAGCTTGGGAAATTAGAAAGCAGTGGAGTCACTTAGGCCAATTTCATTTTACCACTTTATAGAGAGGGTGGTTCTTATGTTCTTTTAAATCAGAAAAGATGGTGGAAGCATCTCTTTCAGGATGTCCGTGATTTATTAATGGACACATTGTTGGGATGGAGAAATGGTCTACAAATATTTCTGCTTTATCCATGAAGGGTCTAACCTCTACTATATGGGTTAGAATGCCTAACTTGTCTTTACAATGTTGGGATGAAGTTAATATAACAAGAATTGCTTCTAGAATTGGTAAACCTTTAATGATGGATGGAAATTTATTCCAATGGGGAAGGAGGGAATTTGCTAGAGTTTGTGTTCGGGTGAAGCTTGATCAACCTCTTCCATTGGGAGTTTGGGTGGATAGCATTTCTGGAAGGTTCTTTCAAAAACTTGAATATGAGAAAGTGGCCAACCTTTGTTTCGAATGTGGTTTGATTGGGCACTTGAAGGATGAGTGTGGAAAAATCAGAAACATTTCCAAGGAGATGAAGATTGTTGATAGTAAAAATAATGAAGTTGCTGGAGGAAGTAATTCGCAAGATAAAGTTGATGAACCGTCCTATGATCCTTGGATTCTTGCCAATCACAAGAGAGGTAGAAGGCCTGTTCAAAGAAGCAATGTGGTGAAATCCAGCAAATCTATATTTGTTAAGAAGAATGGCAATCTAACTGCAATTCAAAAGGAACGTTCGTTTCCATCTGATACCAGGAAAAACTCTTCCCGCACAAAGATAGCTGATTTGGGAGATGAAGAACAGCTAGAAGAAGGAGAATTGGCTTTGGAAGTGGATCGGGAAAATGATACAGAGATTGGAGCTGATGTTGTGGTTAGAGAAGGTTCTTCTGTCAGCTGCGAGGAAGTTTCTGAAGTTGATATGGGTACGATCTCTTATTATGTTATTCCTAATATATCAAATTCTGTTAATAAATTTGATATTCTGAATCCTGTCAATGAAAATATGCTAAATGAAGAGGTGTTAAATGTGGATAAATGTATGGAAATAAATGAGGGAATATGTGATGGTAAATTAGTGAGTTTGAACAAATGTGAAGATGTTGACAGTAATATTTCTGGTAGTATTATGGGAAAAGACAGAAGTACTAATGGTGAGTTTAACAAGATGAAATTAGCTAAAGAGCTGAAATCTCTTGGTCCTATTAAGAACATTTCGAGAGGGAGGAATTTTGATGGTGGTGGAAGCAAAAGGAGGGAAGGGGCGGCATCCCCTTGGTTGCATCAATGAATTCAATAGCTTTTTGGAATTATAAAGGGGCAAAGAAAAAAGAGGTCTCTCTATATCTCAAGGAGGTGATTAAAGATCGTGGTATTTTGTTTGTGGGATTAGTGGAAACTAAGATCAATGCTTTTGACAAAGTTTCCTTTTAGAAGATTATGGGAGCTGATTGGGATTTCTATCTTCTTCCATCTGATGGCTTATCTGGAGGTATTATGGTGTTGTGGAGGTTGGACTTAGCTTCTTTCTCAGTTTTAAAGGAAGCAGATCAGTGTATTATTGGAGACCTCAATGTCTTCAATAAAGGCGTGTGAATGATTGCTACTATCTATGGAAATAAGGAAGTTACAAAGAGGAGAGAGTTATGGGGGAGTTTACATGAGGTTTCCAATAGAAAGATTCCTTTCATTGTTGGGGGAGACTTTAATTGCATCTTGTCTCAAGAAGACAAGAGGGGTGGAAGAAAATTTGTTTTTTCTCAAGGTCCCAAAGAGATGGCTGATTTCTTAAATATAAATGACTTACATGATGTGGGATTTGTTGGTCCAAGATTCGCTTGGTGTAACAACAAATCAGGAGGAGATCGTATACTTGAGAGATTGGATAGGTGTTTGCTTAACTCTATAGCCATCAATGGTGTTCAGGTAGCTGTGGTGAGACACCTTGCTAGAGTAGCTTCTGATCATTGTCCTATAGTCTTGAAGATTTTTGATAATTCTTATAAAAGGAATGGGATGCTTAAATTTGAAGATGTTTGGATTTCTTATAAAGCTTCGTCTTACATTATTGCTAGACTTTGGAGAAAGGAGATCCAAGGAAGTGATATGGAAATTCTCAATAAGAAGTGTAAGAAAGCATTGAAGGAATTGTATTATTGGAACAAGGCAAGAATCAGAGACTTTTCTTTGGAGAAGGGGAAACTGAAAGAAGAAATTTCTCAGATTCAAGAAGAAGAGGCTTCGGTGGGGTGGCTTACTGATGAAAAGCTTTGGATGTTGAGATCAAAAGTAAAGGAACTTAATTCGGTTCTTTCAAGGTTGAATACGTGGTGGAGAAAAAGAGCAAAGGCTAAGTGGATAGAAGAAGGTGACACTAATTCTAAATTTTTTCATTCTTTTGCAAATACTAGAAGAAATGGAAAAAGGATTTCTCAAATTAAGAATGCTGATGGAGTTCTCACTGAAGATCCTGAAGAGCTGCATAAGGTTTTTTTCTATTTTTTTCAGAACAAGTGGAAGCCAAGGTGTTGCTGCACTAATAATTGGCCAAACCCGTTATATGTTATGGATGATGTTGATAGAAGAAGTTTGGAGGTTCAAATCTAAGATATGGAGATTCTGGAACTTATCAAAGGGTTTGGAAACAACAAATCATCGGGACATGATGGTATAACGTATTCTTTTCTTAAAAATTACTGGAGCATTATAGGTAATGAAGTATGTAAAGTTGTTAGAGAATTTTTTTATTCAAGAAAAATGTGTAGTGAATGGAAAGAAACACTTATTGTGTTGATCCCAAAAATTACTAATCCATTATCTCCTGATGGTTTCGGTCTTATCAGCTTGTGCAATTCCATTTATAAAATTGTTGCTAAGGTTTTGTTGAACATGCTTTTGGTGGTAATCCCAAAAGTTATTTCGGAAGAGCAGGTGGCTTTTTTAAAGGGGAGAAGTATTTCAGATCATTTATTGCTGGCTCAGGAATTGATTAATAAAATCAGGATTTCTAAATCTAAAGGAGGTTTGGTTGCCATCAACCTTGACATGGAGCAAGCCTACGACAGCATGTGTTGGACTACTCTTTATGAGATGGTGAGAAGATTGGGTTTTCCAATGAAATACATGAAGCTGATTATGGAATGCATTATGGAGCCTAGATTTTCTATTATCATCAATAGTGGTTTATCCAAGTGGATTGTGGGGAGGAGTGGTTTCAGTCAGGGATGTCCATTATCCCCTTTTCTTTTTATTATCTATTCCCAATTACTATCCAATGTCCTTTCACAGGAGGGGAAGGACTTAGGCATCAAGGTTGCTTCTAGATGTCAGAAGATCTCTCATTTTCTTTATGCAGATGATGTCCTTTTACTTTCTGATGCTAAGATTAAGAGCATTAAGAAGATGAAGATCATTTTAAGCAATTACTGTGGTTGGACTGGACAAAGATTGAATCTTAAAAAATCTGCCATGATTATTAGTAAAACTGTTGAGAGAAGAAGGAAGAAGAAAATTGCAAGAATCCTGGAGATTAAGGTGGTAGAAGAACTAGACTATTTGGGAACAAAGTTGGCTTTAAGGAGATTGAAAAAGGTAGATTTTCAATTCTTATTGGACAAATCATTGAAGATTTTAAATTCATGGGGAAATAGATATATTTCTCTGGTTGGAAAACTGGTACTAGCTAATTCGGTTTTTTGTAATCTGCCATTATTTTTAATATCTCATTCCCTTATTCCTTTAAGTGTGCTGAGAGAATTTGAGAAATACTGCGGGAATTTCATTTGGAATAATCAAGAAGAAAAACATGGATTGCATTATGTGGCTTGGGAAGATCTATGCGAACCAAGAGCATAAGGGGGTTGGGGACTCCATTCAGCAATTTCTAGTGTTGAAACAATGAGAGCTAAATTTTCATGGAATCTTGTAATCAATCCAAATTCTTTCTTAAATAGAAATATCTTGGCCAAATACAGTGAAGACTGGTGGAAAAAAGATGTTATTAAAGGAGGTTCTTCGGCATGGAAGATTATTTCTAGTGGCTGGAATGCTATGAGAAATATTATTAGATGGAATGTGTTGAAAGGAACTCATATAAATGTCTTAAAGGATGTTTGGATATTGGACAAAAGCTTAATCAAATGGCCAACCTTTGTAGCTACTTTTGAAGATGCTAACATCACTCTTGACTCTTTTATTCTAGATGGCAGATGGAATATTGAGAAGTTGCTACTTTTTTTCGGGGATGACTTGGTAGATGTTATTAGTAACATCCGAATACATCAAGATGAAGAGGAAGATTTTTTGGATCTGAAATATAAGTTCTCTGAAAAAATAATTTCTGCAATGATTAAAGAAGATACGGTGAAGATGGCTGGTGAGAATCTTTACATATGGATCCATAAGATGAATTTATATGCACGGGTGGAATTATTCATTTGGAGACTATGCAAAAATGCTATTCCAACAGCAAAATTTCTGATGAGAAGGATATTTCAAACAGTAGTTTGTGTCCAAGAGGATGTGGAGAGGTGGAGAATCTGGACCATGTAACTACTAACTGTCCAAAGCTGTTAATTTGCATTCTACGGGAATGGGGTTTTCATATTCCTCTTTTTAATTCCTTTCAGCAATGTATGAATGAACTAAAATTATTATCTGAGAAAAATCCAATGATGGTGAAGCTTTATTTTACCTTGTTATGGTTTTCCTAGAATGATAGAAATAAAACAAAACATGGTAAGAAGGAAGATTGTTAGTCTGTTATGGCTACAAATGTGATTAGCCTTATCGCATTGGATAACCGGCACAAAGTACTCTCAAAAAACTGGGATGTTATTCAATCCACTGGATTATCTACAGATTTTTGGCATCCTCCACCACCCGAGTGGTACAAGATCAACATTGATGCTGCATTGAGGAGTAACTATGGAGCGGGCATTGGAGGAAATGTTAGAGACCATAAAGGAAGATTTGTCCGTGCATTTGGTTTTTATGGGATGCATTGGGATATAACACAACTGGAACTTTATTCTTTTAACTCTTTAAAAGATCTATTGCATAATTTTATTGATAATGCCAAAGGTGTTATTATAGAGGGGGACAATAAGAATGTCATTCAATTTCTTCACAACATGTACAGCAAAGAGAAGAAGATACTTGGAGACATCGGAAATGAAGACTTCTTTGGTTTGAGGTATGGGAATAATGTAATTTTTAAATGCATTGGTAGAAATTATAATAGGATAGCTGATTTTTGTGCTAACCTATCCTTTTCTTATGATTTTATTTGGGACCTTTTTTGTGAGAGCTCTCTTCCTTCCTCCTTTATTAAACTTGTAAAGGAGGAAAGTTTTTTGGAGTTTTGGTTTTTATTGATCTAATGCTGATTGCATTTCTAACAAAAAAAAAATCAAAACTATACAAGTTGCAAGAATGTAAAACATGCAAAAGTTAAGTAGCAACTCTCTTAACAATTGTATACTTTAGTTTTTTTCTGTTATTGTTGTTTTTACTTTATTTTCTTTATGTATTTTTTCTTAGTTTTTATTTTTTGGAGATTTATAGTCAATATTTAAACATCTCTAAATCAGTTAAAGGGAGAAATACCGTTGATAGTTTCCCTCCCTCTAACCTCTTTTAGTGGTATAAATTTATTTTCTAAACAAAAGTTTATCTCAAATTAACAACTGGATTTTGTAATTAAGATCTTTTCTATCTTGCTACAATAATCTAACTTATATATATAATGTTCAAAGTCTTTATATAACTTTCAAATTATTTGAAAACTTGTCATTGCATTTATCATATAATTTTGAGTCCGTTTTGTGGTTTATTCTTTCTTATATTAGAGAGTGAGTTTTCTTCTCTAATATCTGGCGGATCTACTCACAACTAAAAGTATTTAAGAGTTTTGAAAAAGGATCTAGCTTGAAAAATAACAAAGAAAAATGATCAATGACACCAAAAATAAAAGATGCGCAATGTTCGCCAAAAATTTAAATATACACAAAGTGTACAAAAATCAAAAGATGCGCAAAGTGCGTCATTCAAATTGATAAGAGGCATAAAATGAGCCAACAAAAGACAAGCTTACTTCTTTTTCAAAACTTTTAAAACTTAGAAGAATTCATGTGTTACTTGATATTTTCAAAGACTTGATTTCAAATGACGATCAACTAAAAATAGAAAACCCTAATTAGGGCATCCTCGATAAGGCAGCCGTCATTAAGCCGATCGACCTGGATGATATTTGTATTGACCGGGATGATAGGCTCAAATAAAAAGGAATCA